TTTACACAGAACGGTGTAATTGTTGAATCTAAACAAAAATCTGTAAAAATGTAATTTTATGAAAATTATGGACATGTGCCCTTCTTGCATTTAGTAATTCATATATAAATTATATAAAAGCACATGTAGCCTGCAAACAATATGATACATTCAGTAACATCCGAATAATATTCTTGTCGTTCCGACGTTACATCTAAGATTTAAATTCTAAATACACCTAAATATCAATTTAATTATTTTATTCATCTATAAGTGTACAATTTATATGCGTACTACGTGATTAATACCATTACCCATAGTAGATCTATTGTAAGTACTTATTTAACATTTAAATCACTCGTTAAACTTAAGCAAATGTAATACTGTCCGGAATTTATTTTATTTTATTAATTTAAATATTCCCATACTATGCAAAAATAGATATACGCATATGCGTATAGTCTTTATGATAATATATGTACCTATAATTCAAATATTATTGGTTAGTTAATGTTATTATCAGATGTTCATAGTTCAATAACTCAACGTACACGATTTATTACATCCCCTCCCCTCCCCTATAAGAATAGATGACTAACTTGATGTGACCCACCAATACAGCTATAACTTTCATATTCCAAAGAATTTGCAAACCCGTTCTTGGAATTGATTTTTGAACTCGTAATATATTACAAGCTATTATAGTAATATGATTTAAAAAATACTTTTTTTGGAATTTAGAACTTTTGCTTTAAAGAATAAAGCTCAATAAGCATAGAAATACAATAGAGATATTCATAATACAGATAAGTGAATTAAATAGTACTACCGAGAATACTTATTATGAAATTGATAAATGTAATTTCTCTACATTAATATTCGGATGACTGAAATATTTTTATAAATTTTTATATTTTATTTACATAATATTGAAAATACAGTAACAATATACTATGGACCGTACAAATCCCGCTTTAGATTTTCACAGTTAAATCTATTTCAAGTTAGTATCAACAGCATTTAAGAATATAATATTCAGTATTTTATATAGCAAATGCTCTTCCAATATTCTAACTGCATCTTACCAATTCTCAAAATATCAATGACATCACTGTTGGATGCCGATTAACAGTAAACTTAGTATATTATAGTATTGCACCGCAGTTTTTATTAAAACAAAATAGGTACATTGTCGACAGTACTCTTCTGTTTTTAAGGGTATATTAAATTTAAATTTCGAAATCCATCATCTTATAATGTACTACGTATATCACATCATAGTTTTTATTTCACGCCGATCCACATTCAAATTACATTTTTACACCCTTCCTCTGCCTAATCTATTTTTTTCTTCTTCTATCTTTTATGATGTTATTTATATTCAAGTTCGTGCTGACTAACGGTGGTCCCAATGCACTTAATACGGTTTTAAATGTTTGGTAATAAAGCGTTTTATATAAATTATGTTTGGTAAAAAATAAAAATAAATATATTTGTTGAAAAATAGTCATTGAAAAAAATCCAACCCACGATAAGTTTAAAACTCAATTTAGCTTTTATGAGGCTATAGTGATAAATGTATGTTTACGATGCATCGTTATGTCCGGCCAGTTGGTCGACTATAATAAATCATCAGGCACACATCATGTACATAATAATAAAAATATATACTTTATATACGTATACGCACTACATTATGATAAGTAAATACTATACGGAAAAAATTCGTTGAGAAATTGATATATTATTATTAATATTGTGTCTAGAACATGATTTTATCGTCTCGTTTAGTAAATCAAACATAAATTATACCCCTTAAGAATTTAGGTACAGTTACTGCATATTATTTTTAACTAACTGATGTTATTTTTGCATGAAAAGATATGTTTTTAACGTGAGAAAAATGGTTCACTGTTGTGACTGTTTTCCATTAATTTAAGGCAATTCTTTGGAAAACTATTCTGTGACATTAAATTTTTATAAGTAGATTAATTATTATATTAGATATAGTTTATATAGTATTATAGTATACATAGAAATCAGGAATTTTTCTTTTTTTTTTTTTTTGGTCTAATTAAAACTTTAGTTTTTTAGAAGGGAGGGGGCAAAAATGATTTGCTCCAGAGCGCCATCGGCCCTTATTCCAGTAATGATAATAATTCAAGCAATCATGTTTGATAATAATTTGACGAATTATCAGAATTTGTGCTAATCACAATAACATAATAGAAAACGAATGTAAAACGATGAAAATCCAGTGTCGTATTCCAATATTAAAGTGATAGGTGGCGGAAGAGAAGTGTTTCCGTATCATAAAACCGTGCATCAAACCTAATTTATTTTATTATGAATATGATATTATTATATGATTTTACAACATATTATGTAAAGGTAAGCGCTTTCTAAATTTATTTTCTTTCATTGAAATGTTAAAGATAGTATTATTACTTAAAACCCGTGATCCTAAATTTGTTATCGGTGAAACGTTAAATCTAGATTCGAGGATGCTACAAATATAATTTGAATTAAGCAAGTAATTGTAATACTTTTATTAATTAGTCGGTCAATAAACCCTCAGATCATCATCCTTCATAAACGGTCAAAATATGTATCTATATCATGCCACCAACATTGATTATTAAACAATGATATTTACACATTTTATAATCTTATTTTCGTCACGTTTTGACCGAACAAGCATTTAAACCATATCATTGCATTTTATTTATAATTTTATTTGTTATTAGTTTGAAGATTCTCAGTTTCATTTCTCACGCCTATATATGATTTACATTTTACATATACATTTTTATTTTTATCGTGTAACTGTAAATTATTATTTTGCTCTTTAAAAACTTTTTATAACACTAAGTGCTCTAAATACTTGAAACAATTAACATCCATTCCACTCATAAGAAACATTAATTGGGTTCTCGTTCAGAGAATGAATAAAATCGTGTAAAAGATTAATTTTGAGTTTAAATATAGAAAAAGCGCTTATATATTTGTGCTTTCACAATCAAGAAAATAATACGATTTTCTTAATAAAACTTAAACCATATATTAAAGATGCAGTAAATAAAACTTCATTAACCCTAATAATGTATTATATTGCTTTACCGAAATAAATTGTATCCGCTTATTAAATCTTTAGATTTGTTCCACAAAACGTTTCAATCATATCCAAACGATTTAGGAGTTAACAATATATATATTTAGTATTTATATTTAATTTTATTTCTTATGATCTATGAAAAAATTCATCAGAGATAATCTTGTCTTATAGAGTTTAATTTGATATGGAATACAAATAAAGACAATCTACATTACATATATTATTGGCTTTCCGAATTAAAAAGGAAACTCGGATCTTTTTTCCCGTTTCAACAATGCAATGTCCAAATCGTAATACGTTTAGAGAAAACAACCCAATGTTTGAAGAAATTATATAAATGATTTAGAAACATATGTGAAGACGATGCACAAAAGTCGATAGACTAACTGACACGAAATTGAACTGTAATCTCATGCTGGAAAGATAATAAACCACATTCTCGTATATTCTGAAACCTTATACTTTTATTCAAAATACATGAATGCAAATAACCAACATTCCTATTTTATGTAAGAAAAAAAAATAATTTTACTTTAACGTCTTTGTCGATTAAAACCTATTTATACGTATAATATACAGGTATATCGTATAAACGAATGATAAATCAGGTTAATTTGACCAAATGCGACTCGAAAACAACTGTAGAATAATTTAACGAAATACGACGATATAATATTATAAACGTAGAATATTTTATTGATCCCGAACGGAACAGTTCTGGTCGAATGCAATCGACCGCGTAAAATTGTTTATGACGTGCACGCACTTGTAGTTAAAGTTTAGCGAAATAGTTTGATGAATTCGACCGGTGCGTATTGTATTGTGTATAGCATTGTACAGCTCTGTCGGATCTCGTTGTACTATTTGAACGGCCAATTACGGTAGAAACGAAGGTTTTACAAAATTAAGTTAACGAATGAACACAATGTAAATGGTGTTTGCGTGTAGTAGAATGTAATAAAATGATTTAGGTTTGGAAGATTGTGTAACGACTTGTGTTTAACCGAATCCGATGTGTGTATTTATTCCGATGACAATACTATCGTCAGTTATATCGAGCTATGGTAAACCGTATTGATTTTAAGTATACTGTCGACATTTTCTGTTACTCTATAGCATTAAACGTACACGTTCGCCGTTAAGTTTACTTGTTTTCAGTGGCGCATGCACTAAAATAGTAAACTACTCATACGAAAAAAAAAATATGAAATAAAAAATAAAAGACCGTGTCCCTTTTATCATAAATACATATAAAATTATAAATGGGGGGGCTGTAACGTATTATTTTAATGCCTCCCCAAATTAAATACTCGTGCTTCGTCACTGGTCTTATGTAATATTATATATATATATATACCTATATATTATATTTAGCATTATGTATTATAAAGTATTGTTATAAAATAAATTTCAGTTGTTTCGATTTTTTGGCCAACTCCTTTATCACTTCATCAACAGTAATTTCAACTTCCCTGTGAATGTTTAACATAGCCAATTCTGCAAATATGTAAGAATTTTAGTTTATTTTTTATTTTTTGGAGAGGTTCTGGAAGGGGTCCCATACCCCTGGCCCCCCCCCCCCCCGTAAATACACCTCTGATTATTGCAATGTGTATTATTATCAAGATGGCGAAAAACGCAATCGGTATAGCAATATTGGATCGGATCAGCTTTCGTATAAGTAAAGTAATATACATATGTGCGAACTACGTATAGTCGATCAGTGAACTGACGATTGGCGTTATTATGATTTCTTCGAGTATTGTGGTGGTGGAGTGGTAGATAGGAGATTCGCGTTAGATAAACCTATAATGGGTGTGTACGCGATTTAAAACTCTGTGCAATGTATAAATTGGTGTTCTAAAAAAAAAAAAGGAAATTATTTTTATCTATACTTTGTTCGCAGCTGGCATTGGGAAACCAATATACCGTTTAACGTCTGAAGCCAAACACGTTCTGTGTGAATGCGCTGAATATCAATTGGCCAACTCGCCCACGCACGATCATGTGGCTGCACACATCCTCAGGCAACTTGGTGACCGTCCGGATTTACCAACGGCCTCGAAAGAGGATGAATACGTTTACGACGACGACAACAATGAAGATTGTTACCAATGGTAAGTACACAACAATTGCTATATATTTCTGAGTAGTTCATCGACCACGATGATGGAATATTATAAAATATAAGATTGCAAGGAAATAAAAACATTTTGGTAACGGTAAAGTTATAAATATCCACCACCGTTGTTTCGGTACTGCTTTGACTTTTAATTTTTGAATAAAATACGTGAGTTAAAGTTTTAAAAATATTAATACCACTTATCTTATCTTTTATTTCCGAGTAAGCCATATCTTTTGTAAGAGAATATATTAAGTTTTCTATCAAATTTTTTTTGTATGTACGATGAGTAGGTTATGGTTTTATTATTCGTTAATATTCTACTTTATAATATTTTATCTGATATTAAATTTTGTTTTATACCTTTAATACTGTCTAGGCATTTGCATTCATTACTAGTTTAACAAAAAAAGTTGGTTAATTTAGTTTCAGTCAGCATCATGGAAACCGTGGTCAAAATTAGAATAGAAAGCATGAAGTCGGAGCCAGTTATAGTAAAATCTGACTTTAGACAGGGTGATTCTATGTCACTTATTCTTTTCAACCTGGTTTGGGAAAAAGTAGTAAGAAGGATGGAAATTTAACTACACGAAGGAATAAAACTCCAGAACTCGGCTATTCGTAGGGGTACCAGTAGGATGCTATACGTAGATAATATAATGCTGATGGATGATGAATCTAAAGTTGGAGTAAAACGGCTCTGTGAAAGATTTAATAACGCGGCACAGAAAGTAGGACTACAAATTAATGAACAAATAACTGGTTATATGGATAATAGGAAGAAAGAATTGGGTAAATTGCGTATTCAAGATAAATTATTTTAAATTTAAGAAAGTTAATTTTTTTGAAATATTTTGGCTCAATCGTGAGTGAAAAAAATTATATCACCAAAGAAGTAGACAAGAGAATCCCAACATAAAATAAGAATTATTATGGACTTGTAAAACTATTAATTTCAAGGTCATTATCAAGAGAGATAGAGACGTTTGTATACCAACCTAATATGACCAGTGATATTGTACGGATTGGAAATCTAGACATTGAGAATATCAGATGAAATTAAATCCTTAATACTAGAAAGGAAAATATTACGAAAGATCTTCGGTCCAGTTAAAGATGACATTACAGGAGAATGAAGAAGAAAAGAAATACAGAGATCTACAAGAAATATTTATTGAAAATAACATAGCAGAGATGATCAAGAAAGGAAAGCTGCGTTGAACAGGACAACATGCAATGAGGAGCCACAATTGTCTACTGAGAACTGTGTTGAAACAGAATTCGGTAAGAAAAAGACCCTTGGAAAGGCCAAAATTGAGATGGAAAGATATAGCTAAGAGGGATGTAGAAGAATTAGGGGCTGAGTAAACTGGTAGGATTTGGTGATGAACAGAGATGACTGGAAAATTGGTTGTGAGACGATAAGATCTTAGCGGCTGAATAAACCAAAGAAGAAGAAGAGAAAGGTCCCTTAAAAATATAATGTTACTTTATTTTATAATTATTTCAAGAGTTGAATAAAATATTATGTGCCATATGGTATGAAAATGTATGTACAAGATTGTAAGAAAAATAATTTACGAACCAAGCTGTACATGTGCGTATTTGAGTACAAGCTATTCTCAATATAAAGAACGTACTTATTTATAAGGGACAAAAAAAAATGATGGATTAATGTATTATATTGTTGTGTTGTGCCACAAACAATATTAATATTTCAAGTTAATAATATATCTTGATATATAAATACACGAATACACCTGAGTTCTATATTTATATTATATAGTAAATTCTCTGATTTCGAAGAGAATAAAATAAAATTAATGAATTTTCTATTTTATAAGAACATATATATGTATGGTGTGTTTAATTTTAATAACCATTCTTTCTTACCATCAGATTTTGTAAATTTATTTTATATGTTATTTTCTTATTTAAAAATAATTCAATATTTAAATTTTTATACTCTTTAATTTCAACAGGTAAAATCTCAATCTTAATAATATATTCAAACTCATTCTTCCAAAATAATATTTTGATTTAAAAGAAAACATAAATAATACGAATTAAATAACATACTTTATAAAGGAATTTATAAAATCATTATTTATTTTATTTTATTTTTATATATTTTTAACTATATTAGAAGTACGTACCTTGTCTGTAATACAATTTTACAACATTTTTACAACAAAATCGATAACTGCATTTCAAGGATTTCCACTTCATTATAATACCATATGATTCCGCGGAATTGCCTTCTCGATATTTATCAGATGTTTTAGTTTGACACCTCTTACAAATTTATGTTTGACGTACCTGCCCATCCACTTAATAATAATAATTATAATAAGTAATAACAAAAACAACAATGCGGTTATGAAAAAGGTACTGCGAAGAAACACATATACATCGATGTACTGATATTGACTAAATGACGCGCCGTCACTTGTACAGGACTGATTTTTTTTTTTCACCGCATTGGGGTCTATATACTTTTTATAAGCATAATTATGGAGAAGGTTTAGAGTTTTAGATCAGCATTTTTCTTTTATTTCCCACCGAAAACAATTTTAATTCAATTAAACCGATTCATTTAATTTGACATATAAATATGATAAATATAACGTCTATTTTCAAATTGAAAAATATGCTGGTCTATAAAATGTTAGCTAGTATGGAGCCGGACTTGAGTTTCTGTCCCACCATCAATTATTAAATGTTTTAAACTCTCGTGAAATACATTTAGGCAAATTCTATGATTGAATTGCTTAACAGTTTATCCTGTTCAGACGGAAATGGACAAAAGTTTGCTCTAATACACTTACGTATAGACTGTTAAGCATATATAGTAAAACGATATAAAGTTTTACGATAATGAATTTTTAAACGTTACGCCATAGTAGTCAGTCCGATGATCATATCGCAAGTTAAATGACGCGAAAAACGATTGTTTGTGTATAACTGTGGTGTGTAATTACAAATAAAAATACATTTAAAGATAAAACAGCGCTAAGCGTCTCGTCAGATTGAGTTTCACCGTGAAAAAATCTGGATAAAAATATTTCTTTTACCTTTTTCAACGTGAGACACGAAAATCGAAAAACACGAATATGGTTCGTATCTACCAACTACCGAACTTAGTCATTCAACAACAAGATTTCTATAGATCAATTATACACTAGAAAATGGTCCATTCATTAGTCTTCATAATGCTGTGCAAACATATTTTCGACGGTTGGTTTTGAGTTATATTACGTATGAATTCGGTGGCAACGTCGAAATAAATAGTTCTGTGTGGACTTGTAACTCGTTTATCATAACAACTCGAACATTATGATCATTTATATTCATTATGGTACACAGCTATATTATAATGGCGTGTGTAATATTTTATAATATGTACGCATATTTATGTCCTACTTCAGTGGAGTGTGTTGCAAAGGTATACATAAGAAATAAAAATCTCGTCTACAAATAGAACTAATTTGATACATTGTTAATGTTAAAATAAAATATCGAGAGTAAATTGAATTGCAATGCAGATTACATATATTTTGGTACATGATATTTTAAAGAATGGAAAAACTGAATTCTCAGTTAAAATCTATAATTTTAATTTTAAATTAATAATCTATAAATTGTTTGTAAGTGAACTATGTTAATTCAAGGCTACAGTAAAAAGACAATATTTATAATAAATTTCAAATTTAGAGAACGCTAATAGCAATTTTATGATACATATACGATGAAGTCCGTGAGATGAAAACAAAAAAACAACTAATAAAAGTGTATCAAAATCTCGAAGCGGAGATGTAAGAATAAAAGAGGTGACTTTTAATGTTTTATTACGGAAAAATTTAAATTACTCTGAAACCAAAACTATCGATTTACGGTAAACGGCTTATCCATCGGAAACTTGTAAAAAGATAATTCTCCGTCGTTGTCTTTTACTCAAATTGTTCTTACAATAATTTTGAGTTCATCGAATGTTTCCGCAATACAAAAAAAAAACAAATATATACACAATATATATAGATGTATAATGTACAAACAAGAGCTCGAGATGCAAAATAAACTCTATTCGGATAGAAATTTTGGAATTTCAATCCCCGACTTGGCGTGTTCGAATCAAATGGAAAATATGGCATAGTGCTGCTTAAACAACCATATGTATACGTATATATACAGATAGATGTATTTATTTTTATATAAATATATGTGTTTCATATTTGTATTTGTGAAAAAAAAAAGGCATCCGACGTAAAACACAGTGTATACTCGTAAGTTGTGTAAGTCGCCGCTGTTTGTATGGACATATTGACACTTTGGCTCTAAATAACTCTAGAAAATAGAAATCGTGTACATTATGTTTATGTATATATGCATATTATACAATCTTGGATATTTCTGCGATCGGTTATATACGACGATCTCGTCTTCACACATGGTTTTTGTGTATACGAGAATATGGTTTTCGACTCGTTTATTACTAGCAAACAACTGTTTGTTATTTATCACGTAAACAAACCACGCGTATCACATCAATCTACATGACATTAATCGATTACAGTATCCGACATCATTGTGTGATTTAAGAAACAATACTACCAGTGAACTTAAGTGATTTCTGGAAACACTACTATCGTCTTTTTATTGTAAGTTTATTTATTTGTAAGGCTTTGAATGAAACATTTCATAATCCTCAAGTCATTATGTCCTGATTGGTGCATAATATCCATATCCTCTTCAATCGACGATTTTATCTTTCTGGACAAGCTCATTGGTGAGATAAAATTAATTCCCCATCCCTTCTTGAAATTGACAATTCTTGCTCCTTGGCATCTGCCCACCAAACATGCAGAATTTCATTTCATAATCATTTTCCACTAGAACCTCCTGTAATCAGTGACTTATTCGCATTTTCTTTCCGAGGTGAGAATTGCATTTTTCTAAAAACTCAGCAAGTTTAAAATATTGTAATCTAACATAGATTTTTTATGAAATAATTCTATTGACGATAATATGAAAACCCATTAATTATTTTACTTAAATTAATTTTTTTTAGTATTTAATACATGTATTAAATATTATGTAGGCCTATTAAATGGTTAGAATTTTTCGTTTTTTTGGCCAATATGTTCTCAATAATTTTAGTTTATTGACTTTTCTGATCAATCTATGTGTGCGCAATGAAACCAAAAACCGACACCGATCGTATTATTTTTGTTTTAACTATGACAAAATATATATTTATCTATGAAAAAAAATAAAATGGAACGGATTATTAGTGGACTTTATATAGACAAAGAGGGAGAAGAAAATGGTAAATTATGCGAATTTCTATTTTTATAGGATAAAGCAACCAATATGAACAATATAATTATTTTACAAAAAAATTCTTATTAACTAGTGTTGTCGAATTTACAAATAAATACTGACAAAATTATAACAATAAAATACAAAATAATATAATAATTATTGGTTTGATCTGAGACTTGTCCAACCTGATTGTTACGTAAGAAAATGACTGAAAATAATTGATTCAAAAGTTACAATGTTGTGCAACGATCGATAGTGCGAACGTACAAAAATGAACAACGACAATAGTTGACAAGTACGAACATAATCTCCGGTGTAGATGGACAGGAACAAAATAACGGCAACAGCCGACGAAGACGAATAAAAAGTTGTGACTTAAAGTGCAATAGCAAACTTTCCCAGATAACAAAAAAAAAATAAAAATAACTAATTGCCATAAAATTTCCACCGGTAAAAACCGATGTGTTGGTCCAACAGTCAACAGTCAGCACCGTCAAATGGCAAACGTCGTGTAACATCAACGCGTGCTTTTACTCACCATGATAGTTAATTCAAACATAACACGTCTTATTATTCGAACAAATTTTGAATTTATTTAAAAATGTACTCCATCGTTCTTGCAATTTCAACAAATCCTTAAACTTGGTTTGAAAACTTTAAACATTTACAACTGGAATATTTACAAATGAACTAAACCTAAAATATAAAAAAAATAAATCTTAAATTAACGTTATATAATGATGTTTCATAATTAAATATAATATATGAATATATTGACTATAACTATTATAACTAGCGTGTAACGTATATTCGAGTAATGCTAATCAATACTACCCATTTTACCACACTAGACTCGTATATACGCAGACGTGGACATAAAATGAGTCTGCACACGATTTATTCGACATGCTAAAATAAACTCCGTATATAGCGCACCATTTTTGTCTCGTAATATTTAAAACAATAACTGCGATGTCGGAAGTTTAGAATTGACCAAAAATATGATTTGTACGATGATTAGCGTTAATCTTTCACCGCTACTCCCTCGAGTCGTATTTACCGGGGACTTAAAATTCTCAAGGAATCACAACTTTCTGTGCATATTTCTGGAAATAATTTGTCATCGTAACTGAGATACACGGAAAATGTAATGTAATATTTAATGAATTACATTTTTTAACTTTTCTCATTAGATGGCTGGTCTGCACACAATGTACTCGCGTTAAGAAAAAAAACTAAGTAAATCGGTCCAGTAGAACTTCAGATATATCTGTCATAAAAATAGCCTCTCCTTTTAATAATACAATAGGTATCGGACATTATGCGAAAAAGATAACGCTCAAAAATGTTCACTGCCAGAGCGGAAAAATCTGAATACCATATAAGATTTTTTCACATAAAAAAAAAATTAGATAACCACGGTGATTGATAGTGCCATATGCAATATCGTTTATTTTGTATTTTTTGTTTACATTTTTATATATGTTTTCTGTTTCGCAGTCAAATGAACAACGGAGCGCACGGGACACCGAGCCGAGTGCCGTTGATCGGTAGCGGTGGCGGTGGCAAGGACGGAGGTAGTCGCCAACAGCAGCGGCGTGCAAACAAAGACCGCGGGCGACAAGCGGCCACCGCGGACCAGTATCACCGGGAAGCGGCCGCCGCGGCTGCAGCTACCGCAGCTGCCGTCGCTGCCGCCACGGCTGCGGCCGCAGCCAGCAAGAGGACGGCCAAAAAGCGGAACGCAGCGCCGCCGGGCGTACCGGTAGCCCTGGTGCTGCTCGTGTTGGTCGGATACATTTGTCTGGGAGCGGCCGTGTTCGCAGCCTGGGAGGGCTGGACGTTCATTGACGGCGCGTACTTCTGCTTCGTCACGCTGTCCACCATCGGGTTCGGTGACCTAGTGCCCGGCAAGTCGTTCCAGGGCACGGATACACAGAACGGTCAGCTGCAGTTGGTTGCGTGCTGCGGTTACCTGCTGTTCGGGCTGGTGCTGATCGCTATGTCGTTCTCGCTTGTTCAAGAGGAGGTGGTGTCCAAGTGCCGGCACGCGGCCCGCTACGTGGGTCTCCTCAAGCAGCCGGCCCGGCCCGGCACCCAGCCCTACGCCCTGTAACCAACCAGCCCAACCACCCGTCGTTTGCCTACCCCAACCATTGTGTGTACTCCCTGCTCCTTCCCGCGCGAGCTCTTCAGCAGACGGCCAACAACTCGTGCGCTCTTCCCGCAAACCGTCATGGCCGAAGTCACAAATAATGCAGAAACGATAAACCGCATTCATGACCTACGTGATCGTGCAACAGGTCCTGCAATTTGATCGACCTGTCGTATGGCTATGATCCGTTTTTCTTGATGCGCCACGTACTGTTCGAAATCGAAATCGTATCCCGTCTATCACATCGTCGAAATCCATCGAAAAACAATAACCACCCGATAAAGTATATTTATGCATACTCCTGCATAAGTATTCTTAACCGTATACCGGTTAAAAAACATCGTTTATATTTTGAAGAGTGACTATTATATTTATTTGACCATCGCCGTGTGGAAATTGATTCTTGAGAATTAAAACATTGTGCTCCTTTTTACCTCCATCGAGATTCTTGTTCGAAACACGCGTAACTGTTTTTCATTCATCGGAGTGATTACACTGATTCGGTTCTCAGTAAATCGTATTTGGCATGTTTTAATATTCTAAACAAAATTTAAAAACCTCAACAGTAATCCGTGCATAATATTATAATTACATTGGGTACCACATAGTACCACATATTATCGTACACATATTTTTATATAATCATAACACATATTTTGTTAAATCCGTAAGTTCAGTTGACCACAAGCATTCACACGCAGTTAAACGTCGAGTACATTTTACGACCCGATCATAAAATAAAATGTTAGATAAATACATCACCGCATTATAATACTACCGTTCTACCTTTTCTGTACATGAAAAGTAAACTAGTTCAACTACGTACAATATGAACTCGACATGTTCACGCGTGTTAATCCATATAGTGGTTACGAAATAAAAATTGTTAGTCTATTATTTGTAATAACCCACGTGTAAATAATTATTTTATTAAATCACATGGTTTTTTTTTTTTTTTGACATTTTTGCTGTAGTAAAATGGTTTTTTCGTGTATAATAATACTCATTTATTATTATAAACGAATCAAAACAAATTACACTTGGCCTTTCTTTCCCATATCAAACACAAATCACATGTAATTTATATAACTGTAACGTTCTAGTCGAAATGATTGATTTATTATACTTTATTAAAAACATATTATTATATATAAATATAAAGTATTATTTTCAATTAAATATTTATACATAAAACATTATACTATACATTATATTATATTTAATAATTATAACATGTATTGTATATCATGAATTATAATTGATAACACGTTGTAAAGTGTTGTATCCGATTTGAATTTTTGTAAATAAAATGTCTTATCAAATAACAATAATAATATTAATAGTATCACGTCCCGATCTCCAAACTCGGAATGTATGTGAGGAATTCGTTTGTAGCGTTCCCAATAATTCCGATATAACAGCACGTTGAAATATTCGTGGCCGATAAAATAAAACACATCGAACTACAGACGATGGCGTACGATGACAGTGGCGGTCGTATCCAAGTCACAATGGAGGATTCGAATTTGAACTACCCTCTTTTTTCAATGTTTCGACATAAGTAAATCATGGTAGATGTGCGGAGTAAACATTTTATTGTACACCAACACAAAATTGTCTATGTACTCATGTATACGATATCACTAATAAAATGTCGATCGAACACGAAAGTAAACCACGAAACAAAAACTCCAATCGAATTAAATGTTTTTTTTCGTTAAAAATACTCATATACTGTTTCGAAAAATGAAAAATTATAATTTTACATTTTATCGTCGACAGTAAAAAAGAAAAAATATTTTATACATACAAAATAAATGAAACATTTAAGGTCATTCACCAATAATCTGCGCCCGCCACTGCTATTATAATATTAAATTTTGATCTTTTATTATTTCTTAATAGACAGGCTACGTACAATCATTTTTGCACTGTATCATTCAAAACGGATTAATTATCGAATTACCATTTTCATGTACTTGACCATACGTTTTTCTTTTTCAAGTAATTTGAAGAAACAAATTTATATCATAAAAAAAAACTAAACACATTATATTTGTATGCAAACATGGATTACAGAATCGCACGTTTGTTATGATATAGTGACTCGTGGATTACTAGAATTTTAATGCTCTACAAATAGTAAAAACTGCTCCAAAAACAATGTGAAAATTTAAAAATGCTGTAAAAACCATTTCACATTTACTTTAAAAATGCCTAAAAAAATGTATTTACCAATTATAGTTGAAAAATTACGTTATAAAATCATGTATCCACACATATATAATTATATTTATTTAATATAAAAATAACAAAATGGGTAATTACTTATTTGTTTAATACAGTCGAGTCGCGATAACTCAAACCTCGATGACTCAAAAAACTTGACAACTCGAATTTTGTTTTATTCCCCTAGAAAATATTTCCTCTATAAATTAGTTAGATATCTCGAATAATACATACCTCGAAGTGAATCTTTTATCCCCCTTCAACTTCGAGTAACCTAATACGACTCGACTGTACCTATTTATATTTTATTTAACTTTATTTAAATTCAATTTTTTACATAACATGGTTTTATGATCGTCGTTGGATTCTTGTAATAGAAAAATAATATTTGACAGTCTTAAATTTAAATTTTGTTCCATTTTTGATAAAATAAGTACATGAATCGATATGCTCGTATTTGTTAGATTACATGCTAAACATGCAAGTTTTGAAAAATAATTTATAATATAAAATGAAATTCAATATTGTATCATTAGTAGGTTAGATTATTAAAAATAAAAATAAATTCATATTAATGATATTATGTATTTTATGGTAATTATTAATTTATTGTGTGTTAAATATATTTAATATTGTTAATGATTTACAATGATTTTATCTCATGCACGTTATATTTTTATGGTTGTTAAGACATTATCCAAAAGTTCTTGGCTAATATCATATTATCCGGTTAATGTTAACATTTCATAAACTACTAATTCAACCCACAATTGCGTATAACAGTTACCTGTATTTTTATTTATATTGTTTTATTGGCCCATAAATACATAGTCGCAACAGTTATAAATAATATCTGGGAGCTTTTTATTTTATTTTATTACTGTTAGAATATATATATATATATATATCTTATATCTTACACATACAATTCTCCGGTCACAGTTTTTGTTATTGAATTTCTTCGAAACAGATTGATCAATTTTCATGAAATTGTTTGTGTATATTTGATAGATTTGAGAATAGCTAATAGGCTATTTTTAAATCTATAGGTGTTAAAAGTGGCTCACCCCAAAAATTTTAATTGTATACCTATGATATAGACGGAGTCATTGGTTAAATATCCATGCCAAATGCAAATTTTAAATAACACACATTCTTATTGTAATAAGTAATAATATTATTTATATTTATATAAAGTTAAAAAAAGAAAAAGTTATTATATTTGAACAATGCCAGCTAGACGCAAAAGGGCCAATTTTAGCCCTCGAACAAAGCAGCTACAAACATGAGAAATAGAAGAGAACAAAGAATAGACTAACAAATGCAATCCGATAATATGAATGTGAGTATGGCACGATTGCAAAAATTTCAATCACAAGAAACACGAGCTGAAAGCAATGATTACTACGGTTCGTAGTGAACACACACAAAGTAAATGACCGACAATGCCGCCAACAAGTACATCAAACATCTACATCTGATTCGTTCCTTCGACTGGAACTCAACTATGAGCCAAATATTGAACATTACGCTCATTCAAATTGTTATGGACAAAGAATTTCCCTATTGTCATGCACTTAAATTAAAAAATTAACCAGCCGGGATGTGTTACGCATCAGGAAAAGTGCAACTACCATTAACTGAAACACCACCCGAACTATTGAAAGGCTTACTTATCGGTACGGATCTAGATTTAAACCTGTTCTCGAAGTTCATTTGTTCATTTAATTCATGCTTTCAAATGACATCAATCGGAGCAACACAAATAGTCAACAATTATGCGTCAAATGGTCAATTAGTCAATTGGTTATTGAGATTTTTCAAATCACAAATGTACAAATTACAAACTGGCAAACACGTTATTATTATCAATCCCAACCAAGCACCAACTGGAGAGCACGTGCGTAGATTCAAAATGATTTTTGTTGACGAAATTGCTAGAATCATGGTTGGCAACCGTACAGTTGCAGAAGAAATCGTGATTCGAAGAAGAAATAATAATCTTGGGTTCATTGCAGACATAAACCGTTCATACGATGTTCTCCAATATCCGCTAATTTTCTGGAAAGGGCAAGATGGTTATTTCATAAACATTAAACAACGATACAACGTTGAATCATATCCATATAATTCATCTCATATAATATTACTAACCGACCGATTTCTGTACAATCATGAGTGGCTGGTATTGTAGCAGTACAATTGGTATTGTACAAGTTATTGTAGCAGTAAAAAAATGCGGACTTAAACGATAAATAAATTAATAAATAGTTAATAAATTAAATTTCAAAATACAAGAGTTGTTGCCAGGCGAATTCGTATCGTACAAATCAATTAATATAGTTAGTATTGTTAGTTTCTTTTTAAACGCCGTGGAGGGTTTCCAGGTATTGTGTGAGTGGCTAGACCGGATATTAGAGGATTTGAATGACCAGACAGTTTATTGAAAAAACGTTTGTAATACGTTTTAGCTTCTTCGTGTATAGTTTTCATTTTTAAGTCTCTGTGGAGAGTAAAATTAGAAATATAAGAAGGGGGAATTGGTGATGGAGTGTAAGATTTTATTTTGAATGGTTTGTATTTTGTTGAGATTGGATTTTTTGGCATTACCCCACAGTTGGAGACCATATGTCCACATAGGCTTCATTAGGGATTTGTAAATAAGCAATTTGATATTTAATTTAGTATGTTCGTTAGTTAATAATGTTTTAAGCAACCGGATACGTGCATTTAAGGCGAGTTTTTTTCCCTTACATGTTGCGCCCAGGTGAGGCGACGATCAATGGATAGTCCTTTATACTTAACAGATTGAGATGAAGGTATAGATATGTCAGCTAAGAAGACTTCAGGACAGGGAGGAAGGCGAAGAGTAAAGGTAGTGTGGAGTGATTTAGATTGATTTACTATAACTCTCCAATTATCGTACCAGTTAGACAATAGGTTAAGATGATATTGAAGGTTCTATGACTTGTATAGACCTTGGGCATTTGATGAATTAGTGGATTAGGGTGATCTTTTAGTTTGTTGTGGAATTTTTTGTATTGGTTAGTTGCTTGTTCTTTGACAGTTGGTAGTTGAAGGTCTTTATGAAGATTTTGATTTGTAAAGTACCAGGGGGCATTTATGATAATTTTTAGAGCTATTGATTGGAAAAATTGTAATGGTCTAATGTTAGATGGTTTGGCAGGTCCCCATATTTGTATCCCGTACGACAAAACTGGTCTGATTAAACTTTTGTATACGAGCATTTTATTTGCTAGGCTGATTTTAGATTTGAGGATGGGACGAAGTAAATGTAGCCGGATATTTGCTTGTTTACGTTTAGATTTTGTGTGGTGTGATTATGTCAATCTTTTGTTTAAAGTTATGCCCAGGTACTTTGTCGAAGACTGGATTGGGAAACATGTGCCATTTAGAATAAGAAGAGGAATTTCGTTACGTCTTAATGTGAAATTAACTTGTACCGATTTAGTCTCATTGATTTTTATCCTCCAATTGTTGGCCCAGGTAGTTATGAGATTTAAGTGTGATTGTATATATTCAGAAGCTACATTTGCATCAGAGCTCGACGCTAGGATTGCCGTATCGTCGGCGTAGGTTGCAAGAATAGTATTGTTGGTTGATGGAATGTCCGAAGTGTAGACGCTGTAAAGTAGGGGCGATAAATCACTTACTTGAGGGACACCAGCTTCAATTGAGTGTGAGATGGAGATGCTG